TTGGTGAAGGAATTCTTTCACTCTCTGGACACAAAGCCCTTCTCAGGAAACTAGGGCACCTGGACTCAGCATCCTCTTGGTGCAGGTAGGGAAAGGGGCCCGGGGATAGGCCAAGCATGACCTTTCACCGCCAAAGTCATACAAGAGCCCTTACCACCTTCTCTGAGGAGTTCCTGGGGAGCCACAGCACCTGGGTGGGTAGGGGCAGCAGGGCCTGAGGGCCACAGTCCTATGGCTCAGTCATAGAATCTAACTTTGGAGCCTGGGCACACGGGGTCTGTAAGATGTTCAAGGGTCCCAGCCTTTGTGTTTCAGTGGAAAGGCTCCTAGTGGAGCAACTGTGTGCTTCTGAGCACAGGGATGGAGCCTGCAGTGTGCCTGCTGCCCTGTTCGTTCCCTGAATCATCTTCACCTAACCTCACCACTCAGCCTCATCTCATTTATAGTAAGAAGGCTACCAAGAGAGAATGCAGAAATGGAACAACACATCTCAAGTTTAGAACATCACTTAGATTCCAATTTGAAGGCAAAACCAGAGTGGGCTACACAATTTTGTGGACTTTGTTTTAAAAGGGTAGCTCTATGTAGTTTATCCCTTAGTAATTTTTCAATAGGCCAAAGAAGAGGATGAAGGACATGTCAGGCCCTCTCATTCTCACAGGCCTTCTCAGGAGGCCCTGAACTGCTCTCTTGTCCTGCAACTGCCCAGATGCCTCTGTGCGCCAAGAAGCTAGAAGTCATGCGATGGGCGGCACTTGAGAGGCCAAGGCATGCGTCCATGTAAGGCAGGGGGAGGGGGAAGGAGGCTGATGCACAGAGATTCTCTGTTCAGGGCATCATTCTGTTAGGTTCCTCCTCCCCTCCTCTCCCAACTGGGCAGACCTGCCCTGAGGTAGCGTCTGCACCGAGTCGCTGGGGTACACATGGGCAAAGGGGTGTACAGGCAGGCAGAGGCCCTCACTGGAAAGGGGAGAGAGCACAGACAGTGGGCTTTCTGGTCAGCAAATTCCCTGCAGCCTGCACTGCTTCATCCCTCACCCAGAGGTCACAAATGTTTACCGACTGGCTTCCTGTCTGAAAAAGGGGGAGGGCAGGAAATGGGGTGTGTGTGACAAGGAGGGTGGCTCTAGCAGACATTAGGAGTCTTTCCACTGAAACACAAAGTCTGGGACCTCTTGAATGAATAGGAACTTAGGCTCTTTAGCTGTGCCCCTTCCTTTAATCTTTCAAAGCAGGTCCAAAAAGTAGGGAGGTACCAGAGGTAGTCATCAGAGAATGGCCTCTGCTCAGGAAGAAGCCTCGAGGCTGCCTACCATGCACCCTCATGGAGTAAAGACAGTTTCCACAGCTGACACTGACAGCTAACATCTGCCCAGCGACCTACTGGGCAAATATTCCAGCCCTTCCCCTCGCATCACCCAGGTCAAAGAGAGCACCTTACAGGAGCCTTCTGTGGTGTTTTTCTACCCACCTCCCCCTTCACTCCAATCAGGCTGACCCAGTTTCAAATCCAGAGTGATTTATCCTGGAAAGAGTCAGAATTTGTATACCAATAAGGCAGTTTCCATGCAGAATAACCAGGTGACTTGTTTATCTTGGGCCAGGGAGGAATTGCTGGGAATGGTCTGAAAGGCAGAATAGGGAGTATTTCCTTCAGAGCTGAGAGGAAGTTGACATCAGAGGCAGAAGTGACAGAGTCCCAGGGAACCAAATGTGGGTCTTCTAACCAGGGGTCACTAAGTGGAAAAGGACCCACAAGAGCTGCCACAACACCAGGAAGAACATCTAACAAGGCCTCACCGTCCTTTGGTTCTTGGGTCTGCCAGGCCACCCACCAATGGCAGAGACGCAGCTGGGATCCCGGCTGGATGGCCTTAAGGAGAAGGATATGTACAGTCTGAGGCTTCATCCCCATGGGCGTTGGGTCTCTGGGGACCCAGCCAAGAGCTTCAAGCACAAGCATGGCCTAATTTCTCTGGCCCTCGGCTCCTCCTTCAACTCAGGCCTTCTAAGACAGTGGAGGATAGGTGTTAAGAAGGAAGAAACTAGAAACTGACCCTTGGAACAGGCCACAGTAACTGGGCCAGTGACTAAGCTAATGATCTTGAATATCTGAAGTTGGGAGAGAAGGGACAGAAAAATATTATTACTAAGAAGATTTCCTATAAATACTAACATGCACCTAGCATTTTATTACTAATAAAAACTTTTATAAGCTTTATCTTACTTGAAATTCACAACCTTGGGAAAGTACTACTGTCCTCATTTTACAAAACAGGACATTGATTCAACCATCCTCCATAGCAGTAGATTTAGAGGCGGAACCAAGACTTGAATGTGAGTCTTGTGTGACATTTTCCTCCTTAGCCCAGGGCCTTCAATTTCATAAAGAAAAGGCCATGGCAATCTCTCCATCTGTGCCATATATACCTACCTACAAGGCAGATCATCACCATCTTATATGAACCACAGGGCTGAATGCCTTCGTTGCCATCATAGTCCTAGGAGCTGGGGAGTGGCCCTGGGCCTGCTGACATGACAGAGACCAAAGGTAGCTTCTGCTTCCTAAGCCTCTTTGGAAAGGATGACCCCTGCCTAGACTGCCAAGGCAGTCCCAAAGACAATACTGAAGGTAAAAACATCAAGAAGTTAAAACTGGGTGAGACAGACACTTCCATTCTCTGCTCTACCTACCCACCAGATGGGGCCATCTGGCCACCCTCAAAACGTTAGCTTCTCCCACAGGTCACTCAGAGTGGGCTCTCAAGAAAGTCATTAAGCTGCTAAAGTTTCTGTTTTTAAAAATCCTGAATGAACCCCAAAATTCCATGTTTACTTGTTAGCCAGATGTTCTGAGTCATCAAGGTCCAGGCATGCCACTCTGCACTTTGCAGTTTCCCTCTCCCTGGGGGCATTTGGATTCTTTAGTTAAGGAAGATGACGCTCTTGATAAGAAATACACAAGGCTTTCCTGATCCACCTGATCAACTCATTTTTACCAGTTTCCCAGCTTGCTCATCAGACCTGGCTACTGCACACGTAGGCCAACTGGACAAACTCTTAGCCCATCTGCCTGTCAAGTTCATTTGCACCCTCCATTCCCCAGGCCCAAGGGCCATCTCCCCCACAAACAAGTCCCTGATTCTCTCTTAGTCTCCTCCTTTGCTCTCTCATTGCTATTTAATTATAGGCCTTTTCTACAGTTCTTCTCTAGTTCTACTCATGCTAATTAATTCTGAACATCATTCATTTTCCCTAATAGATCATAAACTCCTTAGGGACAGTATGTTGAATTCATCTCTGTGGTTCCTGTTCCACTTTCATGTCTGGACAGTGGTTTAGCTTTACACACAGTAGGAGCACAACAGATAGTTATTAAAATGGAATTTGCTTTAAAAACTGGGCATCTGTGAAACAGATCAAAGGATCTCTGCACAAAAGACAGTCTACCCCTCACACTGTCCTTTGGCAAAGTTTATGTGATATAGCACCTGACTCCCTCCAGTTGCATTACCAGGGCACTGCAGCCAGATCCAGCCAGCAAGGAGATACAGAGAAGATAAAATCAGATTGGCAAAGGCAAGGGGTCTTAGTTTAATTATTTAAAGAGGTTAAAATTACATATCCCAAAGCAGGGGTTACCGTTATCTGTCCCCAAGGAAAACCAAGGAAGGATTTTGTGGGGGCAGCGGGTGGTAAGGAGATGAAGGGCAGAAGAAAGGGAGTTTCCTGGAAAGAACAAGGACACAAAGGTTGATGCCTGAGAACAGAATGGATTCCCCATCACGACAAGTGACTCCACCTCCGAAGATCTACTGCTATGGAGGATGGTTGAATCAATTTCCTGTTTATAAAATTCCTTTCACAGGGATGGGAAGCCCAGACACTCCAGAGGTGAAAGACCATTACAATCCGAGAGGGATTTAGGGCCCTGCTCATGCCACAAGGCCAGCTGGAGCCCAGGCAGCTGGGAGCAGAGCGGAGGGAGAGAAGGTGGAAGAGTGGGAACTTCCGGCAGGGCCGCGAGCAGAGGGCTGGGAGAATCACTCCAGAGAGTGCTCATGGAAAAGGCTGTGCCCTTCTGACAAGGCAGCAGATGGGAACAACCAGTGATGGGGGAAATAAGCCCAATTTGTGCCAATGACTGGTGGAGCAGGTGAAGGAATACATTTCACTCCCTGCATGCCCACATACCATGCCATACAACTCAAACTTTGTTTATTGGCCAAGGACTTAGGCTCCGAATATAGCTACCCAGGTGCAGGCTGGCAATGGTCACAGGGGTTCATGGGGGGAAAATTCCCAAGAATCAGATCTCAGCCAGCAGGGGAAGGAGAAGCCATTTCCATTGGAGATTTAAAATCTTTTTCTCTCTCCCTCTCTTACACACACACACACACACGCACGCACGCACGCACGCACGCACGCACACACGCACACACACACCCCTACCCCCACTCCTATTATGAACCTCCTAAATAAAAATCTAATTCCAGTTTAAGGATAAGAGGTTTAGTCTAGAAAATCCTCCTCAAAGCAGTGTGGGGATTGTTATCTGTTCTCAATTTCCTGTCAAATCAGTCTTTTCTTTGGGGACCACAAAGAGGTCGATGATAATTTCTCTGTGCCAGGACCAGGCAGGAGATTGAGGCGCAGAGTAGGAACACACGTGCCTCTGCCGGGCTGGCTAGTCCCTCAGGTCCTCCTTTGCTGAGACCTTCTCTTACTCCTGACTTTGGCCACAGGTCATTCAGGACAGAGGTGGTGGGCAAGGCCCACCTGGCACCACCTCCTGCCTGGGACAAACTGGGAGACGTGTGGGAACGGAGGATGCCTGAGCCTGCGCTTCCTCCCGAAGGACCTGGCCTCTCTGAGCCACGCAACTGTGTGGGCTCCATCACCACCTCATGCAGTGCAAAGGGGGTTCAGCAAGGCAAGGAGGGAGTGAACCTCAGGATTGTGAGAATGGCTCCCCTAACCCCCGAGGCCCCAAATGGTACCTGCCAGGGCCTTGATCCGGGACCTCTCAAAGAGCCTGGCCGAGCTGTTGTCATTATCCAGCTCATCGTCCGGGGCATCCCAGCGGGCATTGATCCGGCTGTACGGTGGCTGGTTGCCCACGTTTTCATACTCCGTGGCCGAAGTCATGTCAGCAGGCTCTCAGCAGCCGCGCCTGCCTCAGTCTTCATGGAAGAGCCTCTGGGGGGACAGCAACACAGTCAGAGGGTTAGCTCCCATCCCTCAGACTCCTCCTCAGGGGACACTTATTCGGAGCATCCAAGAGAAATCCGTCCCTGTGGGAGCAGCGCACGGTGCCCTCTGCCGGGTCATGCTCCCTAGCCAGGGTCTCTGGGTCCTCAGTCATAAATCGCTGCAGGAGCAGCAGCAGTAAGGCAGCCGCGGCGGCGGGACGGAGAGCTGCACGCCTTGAGGGCAGGATGGCCAGCAGGTGGAGACGTCAGTTGCAGCAGCCGGCTTCTCCAAACCTGGCACCACCGAGGGAGCACAGAGAGGGGGGGCTCTCCTGGGACCGGTGGCTGGTGGGGGGATCAGCTGGCAAGAGCAGCCCCACCCTGTTGTCTGCGCGGCAGGACCCAAACTGGTGGAGAAGGGGAAGGGAGAACCTGGAAGCCGGCTGAGTCTGACACAAACACAAATCAGTGGGGAGAGAGACGAATGAGGTTCAAGATGCCGCTGGTACCCCGCCCAGGCAGCAGCACTGGAGAAAGTTTACTCCTCCCACAGGCTCTACGAGAGTCCTTTGAATTTTTTCCCAGCAGCGAATACTCAGAAAAACTCCTGGTTTTGCTTTTCTCTGAAGTGCCCCCAGGTGCTGAATCCCAGGACAGGCCAGAGCCCACATGAGCCTGCTGTCTTATCAAGGCTGTCAGTATGATGGGGGGTGGTTGTGGTGAGGGTATCCAACATATGCGATGCACACAGGTATCACGGACACTATGTCCTCACTCGCCCATTATTTATGTTTGCTTGCTCATTCATTCATTCATTTATGATTAATTCAAGTATGTACCAACCCCCAAAGAGGTGGCAGACACTGTGCTAGGCAATTATGCATAAAATGGAAGGGCCCTGTCCTCATGGAGCTTATACTCTGGCAGCAAGACAGGTGATTAAATAAGCAATTACAGTAAGGCATGTTGTTTACCACCACTGGGCAAGAATTGGGGGATTCATGGTAGGCGATGGGAGTTGGGGAAGGGCAGTTTAAGCTGATACCTAAGGAAGACTAGAGGCACTCTGTGAAGGGATAAATGGGAAGCACTGAGTCCAAACAAAGGGAATAAAGAGCAAGTACAAAGTTCTGAAGGTGAGAAAGAACATAGCAAAATTTAGGAGCCTTACAATGTAACTGGGAGGTGAGGGCAGTGGTGGCAAGAAAAGTGGAATGAGAGGCTCATAGTGCCAGGCTAGGTCCTGAACACCTTGAGTCTTTGCAAAATGACTAACTTCCTTCAGCCTTGATTTCCTCACCTGCACCTGACAGTCAGTCACCTCCCTAGGGAGCTTAAGGAGGCCAAGATCAAGTGTGTAAGAGAGAATAGGGAGTTCAGAGCTTTCACATCCAAGGGAGCAAAAGGGGGTGGTGGTGGGAGGCCACAAAGCAGAGAAATGAGTGTGACAATGAGTATGCTGTGAGATGAACCACTCCGTCCATGAGTGTGCGCACGTGTACACACATGTGCACACACACACCCCAAACACACACACCCTCCAACACAAACATCCAATATACTCACATACCCAAGGTGGCATGCTCTTGAAGAAAAAATGAAGCAAGCTCACCTATCCAAACTTAACACGGTGCTGTAACCTTTATTTTTCAGACACAGAATCACTTCAGTCTCTTTTTTCCCCATCTGACTAATCAATCCCACCACATCCCTTTGAGGTAAGACAGGATCCAGAACTATCCACTCTAATTGCACCAGAGAGAAAAACAAGGCCCGATACCGGATAAGGCCTCCCCAAGGTCATCAAGGGGGTTACTGCTGGGGCTGGGACCAAAGGCCAGGCCAAAGCCCTGTTTATCCCTTGACCTCTGGCTTCTAGGGAAGCAGGTTGGATTAAGATGGGGCAAGAACACGGCACATAGGGACATGGACATTCACCAGCTTCCAGGACATGGCAAAGGTATTTGCTACTTGGGGAAGAAAAGCTGAAAGAGGGAGGGGCGCTAACACGGACTGCCCTCAATGCCAGGCTTGTGCGCAAGGATGCCCTTTAGACAGCCTGTTGTCTTCCGCAAATGAACGTGCTACTATCAGGGCTGAGATTTCCCACCCACCTGGCTGGACAAAGATAGCTGGGAAGGACTCCCCACTCCCACATCTATTCCCACATCCCTGAAGGGGACCTACTGCTGGCCTAGAGCTCTGACCCTGAGTGAGACAGGGGCTGACAGCCTTGCACTGGGCCACAGGCCTATCCAGGCTCCCCTGAGAAGGGCTGAGCTGCCAGAGGCAGGAGGTGTGGTAAGATCGGATCCTGTGTGCAGGAGGTAACTGGATCCTGGCTGTCCTTGTCTTGGGCTATTTTTAAGAGCAGCCCAGAGAGGCCCAGGCCAAGGGGCCGGAGGGGAGTGAGATTACCTTTGCTGAGGCTCCATGAACAAGTCTGCCCCAGAAAGATGAGCCTGAGCAGGCACACCAGCAGGCCTAGCGTTCAAAACAAGATTGATGGCTCTGGTGCAGAAGAGCAGCCTCTCGACAGCAATTCATCCTGCTTAAAAACGCCATGCCTCCTGCGACCGCGGCTCAGAGGAGGGAGCAGCCAGGCAGTGGTTCTGCCAGGAATGTAAAAAAACACATTTGTGTCTAAATACACAAGGCTAGGGTGTTTTTTTTTTTTAAAGGGTCAGGTTCTTGAAGACAAATACCAAGGAAAGAAGATTCAGAAACTAAACGGAGGCCCTCTTCTTCCTGCCCTGCAGCCATGCCCGCCCCAGCAGCCGGCCCAGATGGCAATCCATCAGAGCCAAGGGGTCGGGGCAAGCCGGTGCGCTTAGCGGCAAGGGGAGAACCTTAGAGAATCAGGTGTGAGAGACAAAAGAGAAGAAAACACGAAAACAGAAAAGCTACCGATGGTTATCCCAGAAAAACAAAACGAAAACAAAAAAATGCCAGTAATGCCTAAAACCAAATTCACCCCAGTGCCTTTCCAGTGTCACCCATGTCGATTTCTATTACTGTCATAATATCCCCTTAAAGGCCTGGCAATAAAGAAACTACCATGACTGGAAAGACCCTACCCACATGGGAGTTGTGGAAATGACATGTAATTGATGACTTGAGGGGAACGTGGAGATGAGGTGATCTGGACACATTTTTAAGGATGCAAGTCATCTATGCACCTAGAGTGGCCTCCACGAGTATGGAGGACAACAGGGACACTGCTAACATTGGACCCTAAACTACACCTCACTCTCCTGCTGGCAAACCCAGGGAAAAAAGGCATAAGCAGTTCCTTATCCATTCACTCCCCAGTTTACCCTCAAGCTCCCAACAAGTCCTGTTCATAACCCAACAGACCCTTGTCAAAAGTACAGCAGGTCTTCTCTGGCCTGTGTGACCCATCCTCAGGAAGGCCCACCTTCCCCGTCCATTCGCCTGCTTGTCTAGCAGCTGGGCAGGCCTGTCTCCAAATGCATAGGACAGAGGGTCACCCTCACCTGGTGAGCTTCTGCCACCCTCAGCCTCAGGTTGTATTTTGAGCAGAATGGGCCCCTAGAAGACTTGCCCACAGCTCAGTCCTGAAAGCTCTCTCTTTGCACAGAGCGCTCACTTGCAGGAGGGCCTTCTTGGTAAATGGATTTCGCAATATCACTGAGGCAAGCCACAGCTCCACCCGTTGCGCATGTGATGAGGAAACTACCCACTTTGGATATCAGGGGCTATGCCCAGTTAAGCCGGGGAAGTTGGGGAACCCACAAAGTGGTGGCAGAGGTGGCAGCATCTTCCTGCCAGCAGAGGGCTGCTGGAGCCTAGCTGTAACTCACGTCAGCCCTCCTGCAGCACTGAGCACAAGAGGAGGGATGGACTACTCTTTTCTTCCCCGCCCCACTCATTTCCTCTTCCCTGGGCCATATAAATGTAAGCAGCCACACAGCCCAAATCTCCAAGTGGAGAGTATCTCCAGCCCTAATCTCCTCCCCACCTCCAGCTCTAGTCCGGCACCTCCATCTGTCTACTGGACATCTCCACCTAGAAATTACAGCTCAGTCTCAATATGGCTGAGATAGCACATAGCTTTTCAGGATGGCAGAACAGGGGACTTTTAGGGGAATGGGGAAGACAGTGAGGCCCAGGTAAGCATGCCACTGTGGGTGACCTTTCCAGCAGATAGACATCACCAGCAATGTTTGCGCCAGAGCACATTGTCCCCTCCCAGAGCACATTCCACTTTTCCACACTCTGCAGTTCCCATCCTGAGTCCAGTCCATCAGTGGCAGCCTGTGGTTTGGGTTCTTAAAGTCTCAAGATTCCAGTTCGTGGTTGCTGCCATCAAGGATACCCAAGAATCAAGGATTTGCAATATCCTGATAATTCTAGTCCACTGCTGTTTGGAAAGGCCCTACCCAGACCCACTGCTCCAGTTTCTGTCACCAAGCAGGGACTTCAGGCCTACATGTCACAACTTGTTCATTCTCATCATGGAAAAATCTCCTACTAAGAACTGGCTCCAGTTATGCTACAGCTGCTGGAATGGGTGGTGGGGGCAGAGTGGGATCATGACCTTAATAGTTCTTACAGGGATTTGGTTGGGGAACAGGTGCAGCTTAGCTCTGATATAAGGATGGCCCCATCAGCCCTCTATTTTAATAGCATCTATCAGCACCTCATGTCCACTGGGAATGATTAAAGGAGACAAGAGAGATGATGTACTTAATATACGTAGTTTTCAAAGACTATCCTCTATTGGGATTCTTGGGCTTAATATCTATGTTTACAGAAAGCCTTAAAACCCAGTCCTACCTCTTCTTAGCTCTCCCAACTTATTTTTTTCAAGATAGCCACTGGCCTCCTTGCTCAGAATAAGTAACATTCTATGGTAATTGAACTGAAAAGCTGAAAGCCCAATTTCTCATCTTCTATGAAGACTTTTCCAGAATACCCACAGTGGCCTCTCCTCTGATCAAAATTGTGCAGGGAGGTAGTGACTCAGCATTGGAAGTGGTCAAGAATAGGTTGAAATGATGGTTCTGAAATAATCAATTGCAATATTTCTACTGAAGTAATTGATTCAGAAAAGACCATCAAGAATGTAAAATAAAATCATTACATCAGTAGGGAACTACACAATGAGGTCAAGATCTCAGCACTTAAATTCACTGATGAATCTTAGCATCACTAAGAATATGACAACTAGATAATGTGTGTCTCCCAATACAATGCAGTATGAAGGACATGATGAACAATGACATTTGTGCCAAATAAGTGGAACCTCAATCCCATTGAGTCTTTAGAGCTAACTTCTCATTTACAGAAATTTTAGGAAATTCAGACATGCTTAATGACAACATGAGGAAGCAAAGAGATAGACTCATACGTAATATGGGACATTATGCAGACAATTGACTCCATTTATTCAGTAAGTCAATGGTATTAAAACAGACAATTAAAAGACAGTAGGGACTATTCTAGATCAAAAGAGATTTAGGAGATGTAAAAACCAAACGTAGTATGTATCCTTTTGGATCTTGAATCAAACAACTATCAAAACCAGGGATATCTGAATTATAAACTCAGAACTGGACGGTGACCAGGAATTATAGTCAATTATGTTAGGCATGATACTAACATTGTAGTTATGTAAGAAAAAATTTTTCTTACACATTTTTTAGAGATGCAGAAGACTATAGGGAAATATATGGTATGTTGTCTTTGGTTTACTTAAATATGCATCAGCAAAGTGGGGAGATGAAGCCAGTGGGAAACCCCTAGTAACTGTTGACTTGGAGTGGTCCATACATGGGGGGATTCATGATACTATTCCATTTTTGGTATATGTTTGAAAATTTATATAATAAAATGTAACTTTACTAATGTTCACTTATTAATAAAGTTAAATTTTATCAATTTTGTTAAAAAAAAGCAGTCATATGCCCCAGGTACAACTGAAACTTAGAATGAAAGTCAGTCCCTCATCATTGCCCTAATGGGGAGCATAGTCGGGCTTCTGCCTCCCTGTCCCCACTCATCTCCTCTCAGTTGCTACATGCAGCCTGCAAGCTGCTTCTCAGTTCTTCCAACCAGCTATTTCTTCCACCGCTCAGGCCCTTGTGCACGCTGCGGGTTAGGCTAGGACACTTCCTGGAGCATCTCTGCATGTCTGGTTCATTCTCTTTCCTCAGGTCTCCCCTCAGATCTCTGTCCCTTGTGCGAGTCCTCCATGAGCACCCTATCTAAGGTAAGTCTTCTGTCATTCTCAATCTGGGCACCCTGCTTGACCCCTTCATAGCACCCATCCTAATTGTAATTACTCCTACATATGCCATTTTGCTTTTATTTTTGCCTCTCCCTGCCTATAGGCTCCTTGAACGCAGCAGCCATGTCTGTCTTATTCATTGCTGTATTCCAGTGTCTAGCACTATGCTTGGGACATACAGGTGATCAATTAATATTCCCCTCCTCCTAGACAACTAAACTCAAAAGCTGAAGCCTCTTTAAACTCATCTATCCCACCATATTCCTTGATCCATTCATTACTCATTCAGTTATCCCACTTTTGTGTACTGAGCATTTCTTCAATATCTATTCACGTCCAAGGCCTGTCATTAAGTCTCTGTCAAGGGTCTTCCATTTGTCATTCCCTTATGTTCTAAAGCTTCCACTTCATTTCAGGCCCTTACCATTTCAGCCTGGACATGTATAATGGCCTGTTTCTGTCTGTGCTCAGCCCTGTCAATCAATCCTGCACAGCCATTTTCAAAATGACCTCTACTCCATAAGCTTTTGGGGACTCTCTCACACACAGTCTAATCCAAAGCCCTATACCACTTGCTGCTGAGCTCATGCTCTCTTAAGCTAGTTCTGCTTATCCAGGAGGGTCCACATGTCATCCACCACTGCTGTGTCCTGTGCCTCTATAACTTATTTGTGCCACATCTCATATGCTGAAGTTTAGGCAACTCTCCTCTGTCCTTGCAATTTAAAACAAATACAATTTTCAAACATTTAGAAACACAATCTACAATATTTCCCGGGATTCTGAGTGAGATTGCCTTTCTCCTCCTATCCAACCTCAGGGGTCCTCCACTGCCTCTACGCCCAAGTGGAAGGGGCAGTCGAGATGGCTCAGGAAAAGCTGGTGATGGTCTGTGCAATGCCTCCCGCTCCTCAGCACCTCTCCCTCCCCCAGTCTCATTGCTGTTGCCCAGTGAGGATGCCTCACCATCCTTCCTTCTGTCTTGCCAATCCTGGAAGTAAAATGAATCGTTAGCTATTTCTTCCTTCCATCTTCATTCTAATGTGTGCACGTCTTTCCCGTCTTAAGTCACACTCTTCCTTGCCATTCTTCCTCTTCTCCCTTTTCAGAGCCAAATGTCTTGACAAAGTCGCCAAGAATATGAACAAGCAATTTATAAAAGAGGACATCCAAAAGACTAAAACCCTATGAAGAGATTTACAAGGTCACTAGTAACTCACGAAGTACAGATTAAAACAAGAAAGAGACACCACAGTCAAACATAACAAGCAGATAATGTGAGGGGGAGAAGGTGCAGCGCAGGGACCTCATGTTCTGCTGCTCGGAGGGTGGACTGGCCTTGCCGTCCTGGAGGACAGCCTGCCAGTTTGCAGGCAGGTTACATATCTGCAAATCCATTCCTGGGCCTAGAGACGAAAGAAATCCGCACACAGGTCTAAAAGGGGAGATAGGCAAAGATATTCACTGCAGCATTTATTGTGCTAGGTGGGAAGTAGAGATAACCTGTGTGTCCGTCACTGGAGGAAAGATAAATGTGGTGATGCACACATGGAGGACACACGCAGCATTGGAGGATCTTAAAAGCAGTGCTAGGTAAAATAAATCAACAGAATGAGATCTATAACACTTCACTGACATAATTGTAAATATATATGCATATAAAACAATACATACAAGACCATACACAAACAAGAGGAAAACTCTTAAGCACATGAAAATGCTTGTCTCTGGGTAGGGCAAGGGGAATGGAAAAGGAGATGGAGATAAAGGGAAATCAACCAACCAACCAGGAGGAGCCTTGCCTAGAAAATGATGATGAACTGAAAAGTAGAATGACCTCTGCTCCTAAGGTAAAAACAGTGTATTTTCCTATCTCACGAGAGCTTCGCCATCCCACACCAAGCCCCTTCTCAGTTCACTGACATCTAGCTTCCCCATCACTTTATGAAACTATTCCTTCCACAGGACACCGATACCTCTCTTTCCTCTTGCTTGAAACAACTGATGCTTTTCAGTTCTTATCTTGGCTTCTCAGCAGTATTCAGCTCTGTTGGCCATTCCAAAATCTATTGAAATCACTTCTTTTGTCTTCCAGGACATGGTCCTGTTTTCTCTCCCGACTTCCTGGACTTTCCCCCTAGGTCTCACCTGCGGCCCACTCTTCCTCCACCTGGCTCTTGAATGGTGATGCTCCCCAGAGTTCCCTCCTGGGCCCCCTCTGCTTCCTTGTCTATACACTCCTCTCAGGCTCCCTCCTTCACTCCCATGACTTTAGGTACCATCCCATGCTGGTGTGGCTTCCAAATCTATCTTCTCAACTCCCATCCATCACACCCAACTGCCTTCTGAACATCTACCTGGAAGACCACAGGGCCCTAATACTCAACATGACTCCTGATGAAATCCATCACCATCTCTGTCCCAGCCCTTCCTGTCATGTTCCTTAACCACCAGTATCCCCATGGCCCAAACCAAAACCTGGGGTCATGTTCTACTCCTCTCCTTCTCTCCCAAAAGTTCACCAACTCAGTCCTCTCAATGTCCCTTACATCTCTGTTCTGTCTCTACTGCTCCTCCTCACTTTAGCCACCATCACCCCAAGTCTAGTAGTTTTCCAGTGATTTCTTTGTATCCATATTTGCTCTTTTGTCTACCATCTAACCCATCTTCTCGACTGTAGCCAGAAATATCATCTTAGAATAAAAACATGATCTCTTCCACACTTCAGTAGTTCTTCTCTATTTCATAACAAGGTTTAAAAGCCATAATAATCACAGTCAAAGCCCTTCATGATCTACTCCCTACCTGAACACTATTTCCATCCAACTCTTCCTCCCAACTTCCTCAGTCTTACATCCCCACCATAGTGAACTAATCCCTGGCTCTTTACACATGCTGTTCCCTAAGTTTTTATCCAGAAAACCCTGCCTTTTTTTCAGAATAATTTGTGGTCCTTCAGAATTCATCTTAGCCTTCACTTCCTTCAAGAAACCTCCCCATCTCACCGTCCTATGCAGCAGTGAGAGGTGGGGGTGCATCTTTTAGGTCCCCAACACACTCAACACTCATTTTCAACAAAGTGCTAACTACATCATAAGATAATTATCTATTTCTCTGTCTTTCCCAATAGACTGTAATCTACTTGAAGCCAGGGACATCCTTATTCACCTTTTTGTCCCAATTGTCCAGCATAAAACCAGGTGCATGAAACGAGGCTACAAATGTTGAACAAATTGATGAGAACTAAGAAATGCAGAGCACTGCATCTCCTTAAGAGGATGAGAGTGGCTCCTGCAGAGGACACACTACCTGGAGGCCAGTTTGGAAGCCAAGGTGGTAAGGGAGCTAGAAATGTGGCATGGAGCAGTAGTGCTGTGGATTTGGCTGGGCATCAATGCTCTGACGTTATCACTGTTTCCCCTGCTGCTTCAACACATTCCTGCCACCTCTTTCTCTTTGGCTGGACTGTGGAAGCAGAAAGGATGGGTAGTGGCAACAAGGCTCAAGCTCCTATGAATGTTCACAAATCTTGAAACCCCTTGGAGCAACTCCGGTTAACCCATCTCTATTTCCTCACCTGAAACATTGATGAAAGCAGCAGCTTCTCACCCAGAACTCCTATAGACAGGGAAGCTCTACCCCGCTTAGCTGAGAAGTCTTCTATGTATTCTTTCTTGTGTCACAGAAATGTCAGTCATGGAGTGGCTTCTATCCACACATCTCTGCCACACAAATGAAAAGAGCTATTTTAAAAGTCAAACCTATAAATAATATGTAAGTTATGGGTGCCAATTTAGTTATTCACTCATGTTAGAGAGTTTAAAATAATTAAATAAAATTAATCTTTTAGAACTTGCTCAGGACCAAAAGGACTCCTGTGGGAACAGGTGCTGGCTAGAGGATTTTCCCATCCTTGTGCAGGTCAAAAGCCTGACACAGGGGGCTGCCCTCTGGAGACAGTGGGGAAGTTGCCTGCAAGAGGCAGTCCCAGTCGTGCAGCCAGGGCAAAGGCAGCCCTTCAGCTTGGCAGAGCCAGTTCCCGCTGTGCACAATCTCGCAGGCCTGCAGACAGAGCACCTCTTGGCCACTAGGCTCTATTCAGCCTCCTTCCCTGGGTCCTCTGATGGGGAAGCACCAGCTACTGGCTCGTGCAGTCACTCTGCTGCTCCCAGTCCTCAGGAAAAAGATTTGGCTCTTTATAGAAATACGTAGCAAAGCCCAAGGCTAGGAAGAGGGCCTGGAATTTACTAAGACCTTTGTATATATTGCCCCTTTAACATACACCCACATACTGTTAGATATTATTATTGTATTGCTGCTATTATTTTTATTATTATTGTCCCTGTTACTGCTATTACTATTATTATTCCTGTTCTATCAAAATAGAAGACCTGAGTTGAAATTGTATCATCATGTATTTAATGGTTGTGTATTCTTCTATAAATCACTCTGTACCTCAGTTTCCCATTCTGTAAAATGAGGAAAACACATTGTGCTTCTGTGGCATAGGCTGCTTGGGCCTACCACTATCCAAATTCTACTTTTCCACACACAGCTTGGAGGCATCTTTCCACTTACTCTTGTGGTTAGGTGTGACAGTGTGATTGAGTGAACAGAAGTGACATGCACCACTTCAAGGTATCAGCTGTAAAACTGTCCCCATAATTCTCTTATTCTTTCCCTTAAATTCCTAGAACCTAGACTATGGGGCCAAGGTAGAAGGAAATCAGTTTCCTGGGTAACTGTCAGGGAGCAAAGCTTCCCCTCAATTGATACTCGTTAATTCACCTATGATATGAGCAAGAAATAAAATTTTATTTTACAGTTCTTTATTAGAGCATTAGGGTATCCTAATCAATATACCTACTACTTATCACATAAAGCTGTTGTACAGATTAAATGAAGTTATATAAAAATGATGAACTGTATAGTATCATACAGCCCCAAGGTATTTTTACAAATATATGTAGTATCTCTCAGGGTCACATCTGTGGGTCTGCTCTATATGCATGCTCTCATAACAAAAACGAAAGTGCACAGTAGGTGGAGTCTGTTATTGCCCTATTGCCCCTTCTGCAACTGTCTTTCCTTTCACCCCTGCCTCTAGCATCCATGCTCTCCCAACCTCCCTTGTTACCAGGTTCCTCTAGGGAATTGAGTGACCCAAGTGGAAACCCTTCTTCAGACCTACTTCAAAACAAAATTGACCCTGAGAACCTAATTTCCTATCATTGTAAACTCAAAGGCAGGGATACCATTTTCACCTTGGAGGCCCTCGCACTTGGTAGGTACTCGGTCAGTACATAGAAATTGGGTGAAACACACATATTTACCTTCCCAAAGGGCTAATGTATCCACTCCAAGGAACACATCTTAAAAAGGGATTTATGGAAATATCATACCTTACTCAAAGGAGATATATGAAAGAGAGTGTAGGAGCCAACTAGCCAATGGGTGAGAAATGGCTGGTCAGACAGGCTACTCAGTTTGTTTAAATCATGCAAGGAAGGCCACTGAGTATTGAACCTACAGGGAAAGCCAACTCTGCCCAGACAGTCCCTGAAAAGTGTAGACTTAATGTGTAACTTATGCTCGGAGGCAGGAAGTAGGAACTGTCCAAGGTTAAAGAACATGCCAATAAGGATGTCAGACTGAAACTCACATATGCTGCCTTCTAGAATTATACTCAGACCTTTAGCCTCAATGGTGGACTAGCCTTAACCAAGGGCTTTGATGAATGTGCCAACCCTATTCTAGCATCTTGTATTTGACTACAGAATCAAGACAAGCATTCCCAAGTACATTGGCACTGTTTATTCATTAATTCAACAAAATTTGTACAGATTAGTAGTACTCCCCCCCACACCAAAACCCATGAAATACTTAGGTATAAATAGAATAAAATATGTGCAAGATCTATAAGCTGAAAACTATGAAATACTGATAAAAGGGATTACAGATCTAAACAAATGGGGAGATACACCAAACCCGTGGGTTGAAGAGTCAATATTATTGAGATATCAATTTTCCCCAAATTGATCTTCAAATTCAATGAATGCCAATCAAAATCTCCAAAAGATTTTTTAAAAATGAAATCAACAAGTTGATTCTAAAATTTCTATGACAAGACAAAGAACATAAAATAGCAAAACCATTTTGAAAAAAAAGAAAACTGGAGGACTCATATTACCTAATTTCAAGATTTACCATAAAGCTACAGTCATTAAGATAGCATAGTATGGCAAAATGATAGACATACAGACCAATGGAATAGAGTAAAGTACAGAAATAGACTGATATATATGGCCAAATGATTTTCAAAGCTTTAGGAACAACTTTTTTTTGAGAAAGGACAGTCTTTTCAACAAATGGTGCTGAATACTGGATATCATATGAAAAGGAAAATGAACCTAGACTCATACCATCTACAGAAATGAACTCAAAATGGATTATATACCTAAATGTAATATCAGAGATTTCTACGGGGGGAAAAAAAGGAAAAATCTTTGTAATGTTGGATTAAACAAATATTTTAGATACAACACCAAAAGTATGATCCATTAAAGACCATTAATGATACCATTAAAGGTAACATAAAATAAAATTTTGATAAATTTGACCACCAAAATAAAAATGTCTGCTCTTTAGAGACATTAAGAGAATGAAAATACAAGCCACAGACAGGCAAAAAAATATTTGCAGAACATGTATCTGATAAAGGGCTTGTATCTAGAATATATAAAGAATTCTTGAAACTCATCAATTAAAAAACAAAATCTCAATTTAAAATGAGCAAAAGATTTGTACAGATGTCTCATCAAAAAAAAAAAAGATATGTGGATGACAAATAAGCACATGAAAAGATGCTCAGTTGCATTTGTCATTAGGGAAATGCAAGTCAAAACCACAATAAAATACCACTCCACACCTATTGGAATGCCTTTTTTAAAATACTGACAGTAGCAAGTGTTGGTCAGGATTCATAACAACAAGATGTCTCAAACACTGCTGGTTGGAATGCAAAGTAGTATAGCCACTTTGGAAACAAGTTTCACAGTTTCTTGTAAAATTAAACACACATTTACAAGATGGCCTACAGTCCTATTCCTGAGTATTTTTACCCTACAGAAATTATAATGTAGGTTCATACAAAAACCTCTCTGCAAATGTGTATAGCAATTTTATTCATAATGACCAAAAACTGGAAATGACCTAAATGTTTATTAACTGGAAAACAGACCAACTATGGTACATCCACACAATGGGATACTACTCAGTGATAAAAAAAAAAAGAATTTATATAAACGCAGCATGAATGAATCACAAAAGCACTATGCTAAGTGATAAAAGCTGTCCTCAAAAGGCTGCACACTGTATGATTCAACTGATACGACATTCTGGAAAAGACCAACTATAAGGACAGAACAAATCAGTGGTTGCCAGGAGTTAGACCTGGGGAAAGGGGCTGATAACAAAGGCACATGAGAACATTCTGGAGGGTGACTATGATGGTGGTTATACAACTGCATGCATTTGTCAAAACCTATAGAAATATACACTGAATTGAATTTTACTGTGTGTAAATTATACCTCAATAAATCTAAAAGCAAAATATTAAAACTAAAAACATAAATAAAAAGACCAAAATCAAATATGTATTGAGTACCTACTATGTGCAGGCCCATTGTTTTTAACTGCTCTGATAATAATGATGTGAAATAATTGTTACAATTTATCTTAAAATGATGAGAGGGTTTTCCTAACTAAGGCACCATGATGAAGGACATAAATATGGTACATGCAAGGATTCTGCCAGGTTGCCTAGGACATGGATATAAGTAATGATACAGGAAAGAATTATCTAAGTGTCAAAAGAGAGGCATACTAAAGTGCTGTGGAATTTCAGAGTCAGGAAAGAACATTGAATGCTGGAGAAACCAGAGAAGTCTTCACGGAAGAGATGGCATTCCAGTTGGATGCTGATGACAGGGAGTGATGTTTATATCGTCCATGTAAACAATGTTTATCAAGAAGTTTCTCACCCAGTATCTCTTTGATCTTCCTAAGAGGAGACAGGTGTCTCCTGTGATCTGTGAGACAGGTGGGGTAGGTGCTACTCATCTCAGTTTTAGTTAAACAAACTAGGACTTGGAGATCAAGGCTTGCCCAACACTTGGGTGGTCAAGGCTTGAGCTCAGATCCTCTGAGAGTTTGGTTCATGTGCTGCTCCATGATACACTCATCCAAAGAAAAGCTCTTCCCTCTTGTAAGACAGAAAGAGGCTGTTAATGGTCCATTTTCACCTGAGAATCTTTCCAAAGGCTACTTCTAGCCTTTCTGGCCATTGAGAACACACTACAAGGCTAACACGTTTATTTGAGTCTTTCTTGCTTATGAAATGAGAGCCAGGAGAGGGAAGATTTTTTTGCAGCATTTGTTTATATTCACCGTTTAACATCTCTAAGTATCTTTTAGTGATACTAAAAAAGCAAATGCCTTGAAAGTCACAGGATAATATTGACTATTTGAAATGCACAGTCCTATATGTAATCCTAAAATTGTTTTAAGATGCAACCCCAGACCTTGTAGGACAATTAGGAAAGCTGCACTCACTCTTGGAGGGGATCGGCTCCCCAAAAGAATTCTGAAGCTATTCCAAGATGCATCCTGAACCCTAAAGGAGAATACCAGCTCACACACCTCACCTGGCCAAACTGCGACC